CGTTCTACGATGTGTTTCTCTGATTAACAGCTGCTTTGCAACTATTTCCTTGTGCCACCGATGACCATATTTGTCAAGGAACTCCTGACAGAGTACTGATTTCTTACTAAAATGCAGCATTTCTGTTTGAAGAGGGTGCTCTCGTTCTCAGCACTGCCTAGCTTTTAAAGTCAGTCCTTGTTAAAACTCGAGTTGGCTTTGGTCTAACGCTTGTTAACAGGATTCTGGGTATCTATCTACTTTAGAGCATGAGCATAGGAACCTTTCACAGGCAATTTAATCTTCTGAGCAGTGCACGTGCGCCGGCGCAGCGTCGGGAGTGGGGGTTCAGGCCCGCAAATCGGTCATTTCTTTTGCCCTCTGGTTGTGAACTCTCTGGGTTAAAAAGGACTTGGCTTTGGTTGTTAGTGTCATTAATTTTTGAATATTTTTAATATTTTAAAATGGCTCATGAATGCTCACGGTTTAGGAGATAGATGTGTATGTAGCACACAGGAGTGCTGGAATTGGTGGCATTCCAAGTAAGTGTCACTGGAGACAATGCATCCGGTTTACATGTCAGGTGCAAAGTGCTCAGGCTTCCTCACACCCCAGGCTCGTTATTAGGCAAGCTCTGTTCTCCCGTCCCCCTCGTGCAGAAAATAAAGTGTACGTTCTGAAGATTACAGTGTGCAGGTCTTTTGTAGGAGAGTGGGAAACACATAGGAAGCACCTCTTCAGCGAGGACTGCCAGAACCTCGATTCTTCTCACCAGGGATTACTTACCCTACACAGTGCATTTAACAGCGCATAGTTCATCGTAGAGAGCCCCCGAGTATACTGTAGTCCATTGATTTACAGTTACAAATCCTGGGCTCTCAAACAAGGGTCTCTCGCGATTGGCTGATCATCTGGGGTCCAAAGGTGTCCTTCAGCCCCAAGTCCCCTCTTCCTCTTGGCTGCAGCAGTCCCTCTGGCGCGCCCAGTGCAGAGGCGGGCAGTCACTTTAGTGATAAACAGGGAAAATGATAAAATTTCCCTAAGACTGTGGAGTTTGGTGGTGCCAGGGTGGTTTTTTTTTGCTTTTGGGGGGAGGGAAGCAGAAGATAGGGTCACAGAAATAGGGGTGGCGAGAAACTTTCCTTCTGTTTTCTTCCGAGTTCGTCATCTGTATTTTTATGGTGCAGCTCCTGGTAATCCGAGATGCACTCATTAGGAACTCTCAGTGCAAGAGGAGGGGAAAGGAAAGCCGATTCCACTTTTCTCGTGGACTCAGCGGCGAATGGCTTCCCACAGCAGCATCAGGTGCTTTGCGCCAGAATTTTCCCTGGCTTACTGCACTCCCACAACATGTGCAATAAAGTTCCTGTCTCCGTTTTACATCTTTGACATTGAGGCGGAAGATTTGGCCTGAATTTATGTAATTTAGTTGGGCACAGATATAACCCATGAATAGGCACATTCATCTCCTAATTAGAAAATCAAACGATAATACAGGACAGGCTGCAGGCACCGCATCCCTTCGGCCAACAAAAGCACGCTGTGTGTGTTGGACCTCTGCAGAGGAAGAGTCAGTTGAGTTGCTTCATGAAGTTAATGAAAAGTGTCCAACCATGGGTGAATGAAAGATGTGGACCGAGGGTGCTGGCAGTTACTTAGTGTGCTAAAACCTTTGCATTATGGGTAAAGATTTGGGGGAAATCTTTTACCATCTGTGGATGAATTCCCGGGCATATAAAATTCCCGATTGGACAGGCCTTTCCCCCCTGTTGTAGCGCCGGGTCCTTGGGCGGCGGGGGTGGGGTGGGGGAGTAAAGAGTAGCCAAAGAAATAATTAGTGAACGGCGGAGAGAGGTTTTCATATGTTCACACTTACATGTAGCTGCTTATTTGGGTATCTTTCTTATTCAGCACATTATGTTGAGGCTGTTAGTTTGGATGCTTTATATTTTTGCATCTGGCGTAGGGATATCGATGCTGTTAAATATGTGATTTGCCTGTCGCCTGCATTTTCAGACAAAGATCAAGAGGAACATAAACAAGCCCCAAATATACTTTATGTAGGTGTTTGGCAGTATGATTTTATATGGCTTGAAATTAGTGAATGGAAACTTTAAAAGAAATTGTTCATATTTTTGCAAGTTTGAAGTGTGCCGGGACTTTGTCACATTCCCGTTAAAATAAATACGTCAATTTCATCTCCCTTCCGAATTCATTTATCTTGCTTTTTTAAAAGGTGTTTTCTACTTTACCTGATGTTTAAATTGGATTCGCTCCTTTATGCTGTTCTTTGCTATATCCCCCCACGTTTTTCTTAAATGAATTACTAATGACAGAGCACTCCATCATTCCCTCTCTACAGCCACTTTAAGGAAAGCATGGTGATCTAAACCTTTTAACCTATTAAAGATGATTTTTCCCAATTGAATCAGACCCACCACAGGTGTAATAACTAATCATTTAAACTACACCTGCTATTATGTATTTTTAAGCCATTATGCGTGTTGGATAGATGATAATTCATGTTTATTGCATTGTCCGATGGATCCGTTTTGCCTACACTAGGCTGATTAATGTATTTAAAGAAATAAGAGATGCAATTTTTTAAAAAAAAATTGATGGAATGCGCCAAGCACTGCATTGAGTGCACCATTAAACCCATCAGAACTTTGCTCTCTGACCAGAAATGCATATACCAAGGACTATATTAAAAAAGCAAGGTGAAACCTGTGCGTTTTAGTGGTGGGATTCTGTTTTCTTTCTCTGTCATGGAAAATTTTGGAAGGATGAAGGAAAGGTCGATGCTTCTATGGGTAAATGAGAGGAGCCGTGCTGTTAATATCTGCTGCTTAAGGGCCGCTCATCCACGCTCCCTCTGACACCTGGTGCACGTAGCGCCGCGTGCAGGCGCTGCCGCATGGTGCTGGTGCTGTAACTGTCTTGTGTGTGGAAGGTGCGTTTTTTCTGCAGGTGAAGAGCAGTCATCCCCGAGCCATCTGAACCAGGCCGACGGCCATTGACCCCGTGGGGCCTGTGACTGTGTAGCTGTCCACTCCTTCCCGAGCACGGGCCTGTCTTCCTCTTGTCTCTCTGCTTCCTCCTTCCCCACGGCCCCTTCCCACTTCTCCTCTCCCCGCTTCTTCTGCCTCCCCTTCTGGTCCAGCTCCTCTGCCTTCTCCACTTGTCCCGTGGCTGCCTTCTCCCCTGCCGCTCCCTCCTGCTCCCCAGTCCCTCTTCTGTTTTCCTCTTCTTTCTCTCCGTTCTCCCATTGCTTCATTAAAACGCATCCGTTTTGTAGATGTGTGTCAGATTGTTCTTAAGTTTGGTGCAACCCGAGGAGATATGGTTGAGGGGCCGAGGGGGCGTGAGATGTGGAGTTCGGGGGTCTAGAATCTGGAGCATCGATCGGCTTCTCTCTATAGTCCAGAGCTGGTTGGTTACCACTGCCGCTCATGATGGGGGTTAAGAGGTTTGCAGTGCTGGATGGATTACAACCAGTCTCTAGGAACACGAGTGTGTCTTACTGCCACCAGGCCCGAATCTGAAGGTCTGGGACACCTGAATTCATCCTTCAGGGAGAATGTCTCAGGCTAGCCTCCAATAGAGGGATTATGGGGGAAGGTACATAAGGGAATTGCTTTGGCCTTTTGTCTTTTTTTTTTTTTTTTTCCTCATTTATCCTCCTATCTTTTGCTACCAGGGAAGTCTGGCTGGACTCAGGATTAAATTCATATAAAATAGGAGAATATTTGTAAGTTGTATTCCATTGATAGTCACAGTTCTTTGTGCTTGAGTCTGGATAGCTGCTACCCTTAGTCTGAAGGATCTTAGAAAAGTTCCTTATATTTGGTCCCTTAGAAATGTTTTCTTTCAACAGCGTAGGAGTGAACTCCAGGGTCTGTTGACTTTACCTGTAACGCGAGACTATATTATTCTTTTGGTCTTGATGAGATGAATAATGCCAGTCATTTAAAACGGCCCCTTTCCTGTCTGGGGCAGGTTGGCGTGTCCCACCCGTTGCACTAGTGTGCGGGTTGGAGAGCACACAGGTGGCGTGCAAACACACGCTGCGTGGGTGCTGAGTGATGCGAAGGTTAGTACCTTCAGCAGTTTTCCTCCCACCCCCTCCTTGGCTTATTTGTAGATATGAAGATTTCATTAAATAATATCATTACCAGAGGTAGGGGGATCGTCTGTCAGTCTGTCAGCTTTTAGCCACAAAACCCCAAACTTTGTCCTTTGAAGTCTCTTCAGGACTGAGCTCCGTTGCATAAGAGGGACCGGTGTGAATGGCTGGGTGCGTTGTCTCTTATATAATCCTTCCCAGCTGGTCTGTGCTCAGCACTTTGCCAGGCTCTGTGGAGGCAGTGTGGTCTCTTCTCCTCAGGTGCTTGCAGTGTAGTTGGGGAGGCAGCCTGAACATTAGAAGACAGTATAATTATGTCTTCAATTATATGGTACACACTACGAGCATTAAAGAATTTAAGAGAATAGGGAGATCAGAGATGGCTTGCTTATTTAGGGAAGACTTTGAGGAGTTAGCACAGGTTATAAAAGGGCTGTGCTGGTGTGCGTGTGTGCGTGTGTTTGTACACGTGTGCGTGTGTGTGTGTCTGTGTATGCAGTGTTTAGACAGGTAGAGGCAGGAAAGGGGGGCCGTCTAGAACAAGGGCATAGCTCGAGCACAAGTATGGTGACGTGGATGAGCATAGCCAGGAGAGGGCTGGCTACCTGCCGAGAAGTGTGAAGATACAGCTTGAACAGGGAGAAAAGGAACAGATTATTGCAGGTCTTAAAAGCTAGGCTGAGGAGGTTAGGTTTGATAGAATCAGATACAGGGAGCCAGTGGGACCTGACATAGTCTTTTATTTAGGTAGATTTTAAATGTGAGAAATAACTGGTTATATATTCGACCACAATGGTGTGTCTATTTCTCTGGACCTGGGATAAACTGGTAGGATTTTTCATCTTGAAATTCAGCCTATTGAAGTTTACTTTTCTTCTTTTATCTCCCTGACCAGATTGCCACAGCAATGAAGTTTCTGCAGAATTCCCGGGTCCGCCAGAGCCCACTTGCGACCAGGAGAGCATTCCTTAAGAAGAAAGGTACAGGTTTCCCAAGGCCATACAGTGTGGCCTGCAGAAGGGGACTGGGGACGGGGCAGATGAAAGCCACGTTGTTGCTGAAAGGACCTTCCGTAGTTGTCCCACTGGTGTGGGGGTGAGGGGAGCCCCCTCAGTGGGAATGCAGGCTTCTTTCCTTATAGTGGAGCAGAGAGATGATACTGTCTGGATGATCCAGCACCAGATGTGAGGCCAACAACTTAGCCCAGGACAGCCTGTCACGGGCAGCAAGAAGAGGCCCGTTGGATGAGACTGTGGAGGACTTCTGCTTCTGGTCCGTTCTTCTGATAATATGACCCTGGCTACACAGTGACTGGCTTTAGGTTAGGAGGTCAGTTGCCTCAGTAAAGAATCAGGAAGAAAGAAATTGAAAGACTAGGGAAATGAGATGACTAAACAAGGTCAGGTTAAGGTCAAGCTTGGGGGTCAGTCTGATTTACGGATTGAAGTGGTAAATTACTGGTTTTATGGTATTTCTGTAAGCAGGGATTAAATGGATCTTGACAAATTCAATATTGTCCAAAGCAGAAAGAATCTCTTCTGGCTCTGTTGCAATTTAGGATATTTTTCTTGTTCTGTAAAATACAAAGCAAACCCCAAAACAAACAAAAAAAGGAATCTTGACTTTTCACTCTTTGAACATCTAATTTTCTAGAAAGCTGGAAAGTTGTGTAGAGGCCCTTATACACCATGGTGGGGGGGAGTGAGTTTTCTTCCTCCTCTCTGCCGCCCCCCACCCCCACCGCCCCTAAACAAAACTCCTTTTCCTTCAGGAGCTGGAATGTCAGCTTCAGAATTTGAGGTTGTGAGCTTTAAGTCATCTGTGGCTGGAAATAGAAGACGGAGTGGTTTGGTGGTGTTTCCTCCGTCTGCTCCCTGGCGTCCCACCACAGAGATGCTTGCAGGACCGTGTCCCAGGCCTGCACCCTTAGCACTGGGGCAGGATGAGCCTGAAGCTCTCCATTCGCAGGCATCTGTTCAGAGGCAGCCTCAGCGCTGGCCCCTGCGACGGAGTTGGTGAGGGGTGTTGTGCATTTGCTGGCAGCATCGTGTTCGCCCCCCATCCGTAGGTGGTTATTACAATTTGGAGTGCGTTGGCCGGCCTCTCCACTCTGCAACATCATGCCATAAAAGAGTTTTTCCTTGAAATATGTGTACCTATGGGGAGTAATTAATCATAAAAGCTTGGGGATTTCAGCTCTCTCATCAAAGCATCGAAGCCGGGGAAAGCTGAGCCTAAAAGCTGTGCTGATTACCCGGGGTAACCTGAGACAAAATCTATGGTTGCCGAGAGATCCTCTGCCCCAGTATATTGTGCGGTATTATAACTGCCTGATCTTCTCTTCCACTGACAATGACCAGTTATTCCTCATTTTCTCTCAAACGCAGCTGGGTTAGAATTTCATTTGCAGAAGGTATTTAGAGCAATTTAGAGACAAATGTCTCTGGTGTTTGCTCGGCACTTCCCCACCGCAGGCTTTGCTGAGCAGTTTTAGTATCAGGAGCTCCATCTAATCTGTTTAATTTTAATAAATCCCTGACTGGGAGAGGGAGAGGAAAAAGAGAGAGAGAGAAACTCTGGACCAAATAATACTTCTTTTGAGTTAGTTGGCTAATAATTACTGTGGAGAGGAAACTGTTTTGTGCAATTATTATTTGTTGCTCCTTTAAAAATAACACAAGACAAAACCAGTCGATTAGTTAATCCATCGAAGAGTGTTTGTCCTGCACATGCCCCGTACTGGGCCCCAGGGACTCAGCAGAGAAGAGGGCAGACAGCATCCCTGCCCTCACCGGGCTGACATTCTAAGGGGGAAAGGCAGACAATTAACCAATGAGAAAACGAGATCCATTGTATGTCAAGTGACAAGTGTCACGGAGGAAAATAATGCTGGGTGCCCGGGGTTGAGGAGCACCAGCGCTGGGGTGGGAACGGCTTACACACCTAGACAGGACGACTGGAGCACGCCTCTCTGAGAGGGAGATGAGTATTTGTCAGTGTGGAGTGGGCATAGTTCCTCCTTGACCCCTAATGTGGATGAGAGTTTTTAGAATTTCAGGCAGCAGGAATCCGGAGAGGCCTCCTACCCTTCTTCCTCTAAAGAGAGCCACAGGAGTCTACAGTGTGAGCCTCAGTCCAGAATCACTGGCCGTAGTCACCCATCTCCATTATCCTGTAAAATGCTGCTTCAGTCAGTAATTATCTGTTTCCGAGTTGAGTCCCAATAGGGTAAGTTCTGGCAGGACCTTTTCTGGGCAGAGGATTCCATGGTTTGATTGGCATCTGGGGAAGAAGCACCCCTTCGTGGATTTACACTTCACTTTTTAAATTTCCAGCTTTTCCTTGGGTCAAGTGTACATGGTCCGCGGAGCTTGGCACCGGCTCCAATGGGGTGAGGGAGGAGGGGATTTTGCGAACGAGCCAGTCTCCCCTGTCCCTAACTGTACTTGGGAAGGAAAGAGAGTTGGTGGGCTGGTCTGTGGGGGCGGGAAGGGTGTCCTGAGGGGAGGGACCAAGGTTCTGGCATCCTCCCCATGCCTCCTCGCAGGACTCGTCGCAGGGGTGGGTTTGGAGTGCTGGCTTTGGGCGAGCTTGCAGCTACTGTAGTCTTGGCTTTTCCTAGCAAATGTCACTTCAGGGAATTGCAATGGAGCACTGCCTTGAATTATAATCTTGACTTTCTTTTTTTTAATAAACATCTCTTTCCTGAAAAGGCAAATCCAATTTTGTTTTTTTCTTTTAATATTATTTAATATTTAATATAGAAATTGAGGTCCCTGTAGTGCATGTCAGTTCAGTGGAAAATGAGGGTTACTTTAGGCACATCAGCTGAGTTTGTTTTAATGTGAAACCCCAGCCCAGAGCAGGGCTACAGCCTGCCTCCGTTACTGACACGTTAAATGTTGTCCTCTCTGATTCGGGGTGCCGAGGGGGCTGGAGGCGGGCTAGTGGGGAGTGGGTGGGATGGACACGCAAGAGCTTTGGTTTGCAAAGGTCTTCTGTGTTTGTGGTTTTCTTGCTTTTGTTTTTTGTGTTTTGAGTTCTCTTTTGGATGCTTTAAAGTCTAAATACGGAGTCATTAATGAGAAACATGAAGTTATTGGAATCATTTATCATTTTCCTTGAAGTTTGTACTGCCATTTTATGTAATTTACGACATTTCTTTCTTTTATTGGGAATTTTTTGGATGGAAGAGAAAAGCAGCTGTTCACCTTTGGAGTATTAGAATAAACGTTTTTGTTTTCCTTCCAACTACTTGATTCTGCAGATGGCACATCAGCCGCGTAGTCAGCCGCACATGAGCATCATTGGACTATGTGTGGGGTTTAAGCCCTCCTGGCACTGGACTGCATAGGGAGGCAGTTCTCACCAGGGAGGCATCCTGTCCGGGCTTTAAGTGGGCTGCAGTCCAGGAGGTTAGAGTAGCTTAAAAACAGCAATAGAATCGGTCCAGAAAGTTAGAGGCTTGGACAGCGTTGTCAATAGGCTTATGTTTATTTGACACCCTATCCAGCCACAAAGTGTAGGAGGCAGGCTGCTTCCAAACATGTTGGCAGGCTGAGTGTAAGGTGGGTAAAAGTGATGCCTCTTCGTTGGGGGGGGGGTAGGTGAGGTGGGGGGAAGATAGCGTTGTCTGTTAGCTTACTCCTAATCTATCTGTTGCAAAGCAGGCTTCTAGAAAAACGATGAGCATCACGCACTTCTCTGTATAATCCTGCATAATGGGGCCTGGGTGGTGTTGGCTGAGACTTTTGCTTATTGTGCCTTTCTCAAGTGTGTAAGTAAAGGGCTGTGTTCTCGCTCATCTAATAAATAGTCCAGGGGGAAAGGAAAACTAAACAAATGAGACACACCACCATCCTTTCTCATTCTAAAAGGTGAAACAAGATCTTATCTTTCTTCTGTTCCTGGAAGCGGAACCCCCAGTAGCAAAGCCGCCTCCTTGCTGGAAACGAACTTGAGGAAGAAACCTGATGGTCTCAACCTTGGTAGTGGGGTAGAGGTGAAGGGCTGCTCTCGCTGGAGTATTTCAAGGGGGAGTAAATTCTTAACACAGATTTCAATTTAACTCTCTTTTATTACTTTTCTTTTTTATCATTTACGTCCATTTCATGAGGTAGTTTGCATGTCCTTGAATGGAATCTCGTTACCATGAAAGCTTTTTTAGCATTGATTTCATAACAGTCTTAATTTAATAGCTCCGTCATTACTGAGAAGCTCTGGGAGTGGGGCCCTGGCTTTCCAGGTCACTGACCTTTTAATTACAAACCTTGTTCTGATGGCCAGGTTATCGACTGGACAGCTCCCAGCTTGTGCCCCCAGGATGAGAACGAAAATAACTGTGTTTCCTCCCCCATCTCCAGGAAAAAAAAATTGTAACCTCATATGTTTCTAAAATTAATTTTCTCCTTCAGCTTTACTTTATAATTAATTCTTTAATGTGTCTTAGTGAAGCCAGAAGTATTTTTATAACGCTGTTTTTTCTAGAGCTTGGGTCCAGCAGAGAGCTTGGAGGGGGCAGGGAAGGGAAACCCCATGCTTGGCTGTGGCCCATTTTCTCACCCTCAGAAACTCCTGTGGCTGAGCTGGAAGGAAGGGTATTGGCTCTGGAGGGGCTGTCTGGCCCTTCTGATTTCTTTGTTAATGAGACGTGGATTGTGGCATCGAGATTTAGATTCATTCCTGCATTTGCTGGAGTAATTATGCCTTCTCTGTCATGGGTGTTTTATTTTATTTCTTTATTTTTTTAAAGTAATCTCTACCTCCAGTGTGGGGCTTGAACCCACGACCGCGAGATCAAGAGTCACACGCTCCACCGACTGAGCCCGCTGGGTCCCCCCTAACATGGATGCTTTAAAAAGATGCTCCCCTTCTGGGCAAAGATGGGGGGTGGGTGATTTTTCTTACTGTCTTACCTCTCTGTTAGTCTTAGATGACTGGAAGAAACAAAATACCTGACCTGAGGAGTTCTGCTCAGTCA